CGGGCGACAAGGCGGCGGCGCAACGCGCGATTCGAAAACCAGCACCCCATCAGCTGGTTTCGGAGCGCGGAAGCTGAGGCAAACCGCGGCGGAGGGCTGCGAGCGAGAGAAAGAGCGGGGCGGCCCAAGCATTGGGTCACCATTCGACGGGTCGGAGGAGGCGGACGCGGGTACCGGCCGGCGACCGCCGAATCGAAGCATCGATCGGCGAATCGCCGCGGCAAAGCCGGCGCCCGACGGCGGGAGGCCTTCCCAGGCCTTCGCGGCAGAGTTTGGACGAGCGCGGAGCGAGCGCGACCCTCGCCACGCGCTGAGGCGGCGGGTCGGCGGCGGAGGAGCACCCAGGCACCTCGGAGGGGGTAGTCAGCCGCATCACGGCACCGGTCTGACGTCAGAGGGACATCGCGGCAACCCCCCAGCGGCAGTACACCGTGCAGTGACAACGGCACCGGTACAGCACACAGCGGGCACGGCACGCGCTGACGCAACGCTGTGCAAGGTGACACAGCACCCCGGAGTGGCGCGCAAGGGGCGCAGGCGACGCAGCGCTGCACAAGGTGACACAGCACCCGGAGCGGCACACGGCCAACCCAGGTGGCCACCACCGTGCCAGGAGCAGCCCAACTGAGCCGTTACAAGTACTGAGGCCTCTACTACTGTGCCAAAGTACTACGCCAAGGCCAGTACTACGCCAAGTACTACACCACCCAAGACTGTTGAGGATGTGCTCACGATGGAGGGAAAACTGAGGCTGCTGAGCAGATTCTACAGAGTCCTCATGATCTACATCTTTGCATCTTTGTGTATGGCAACATGGCACACACTGTTTGCAAGTTCTTTTTTGTGGCTAGCACTCCTGTGGATTCTGGGCTCGAGCATTCATGTGCTTGTGGCCAGTGCACTTGGGCGTGATGGCAGTCGCCCACCTGTAGGGGCTTGCATTGACTGTGCAATCGCTTTATCATATCTGTTGCAGCCAGGGGAGCTGTTTTTCATAGTCTCCCATTTTCCGTGCTTCTAGAAATTCGTGGATGATGCAGTGAATTACTGAAGGAGAAAAAGCAAATTGCAGCAATGTATGGTCAAGACAGGAACAGAAAAAGCAATGTGGGATGTTGCACATATATATTGTGGAAATCGCGATTGATGGCAATTTGGTGTATGGATGCTTGCAAGCAATGCCAACAGCACAAACTCAAACTTGCCAATGTACAGTTTGGTGCATTTGAGGTGCCTACCCCATGATTTGAAGGTGCAGGATTCAGGAAGTTGCTTTGTATTGCGCAGAAATGCTGCTACTTGTGTTGCACAAGTCTTGAACCTGCACCATTGTTACTGGTCCGGCAAAAGTTGCAGAAACCTGGCATTCAGTTCTGATAGTGCTAGCGACTGCAAACTGGGCCTGTGGACCTTCTTTGGCCATGAAGGGCCCCCTCTTGGTGGCTGCGGCTGCCTTTGGCATTGTGTGGCAATAGTTACCGTTCGGTGACTTTGTCTCAAATGGCCTGTTTGCCTGTACACAGTTGTCTACTTGCTTCCTCTCGGGGTCAACAAAGAGCCTATTGAGTCTTGGACAGAGACCCTGGATGTGCTGCACAACTTGGTCTTGTTCATCTTTGTTGCGCTCATGTCATGGATCTTCAGGTAAGAAGGGGGACTTGGTATGCACCACCATCGAATTGGAGTCAATTCTGGCAATTTTTTGGTTCTTTCCAGACTTGCATGTGACAAGTACGAGATAAGGCACCGACCCATCTAACAGAGGAGTTGCCAACCCTTTTATATCGTGCATTTACCACATCATTGGAAGACCTATCAGTTGAAGTTTTGCTTCTTCAGCATAACGCCCAGACAATTCAGCCTCTGTTGACATCAGGCATATCCAGCTCACAGGCCGGACACTGCAGTGCTGCTATTTTCCAGTTTGTGCGGAAAACTGAATGCAGACGACGTGAAGTCACGGCTGCCAACAGTGTGCATATGTTTGCATCATTTTGTTGTGTGCGATGGCAATTCTGCAGAGCTGGCGAAGTGGAACACAGGGGATGGCTGTGAATATTTGTCAACACATGACAAGAACCGCCCTTGCATCTATCTGTAAGGCATTGATGGGCATGCGTCCATCAACATTGTTAACCCTCTGTTGGCATCCGTGATAGCCACATAATCATAACGCGATCATATGTGGAACATCATTGAACGTTTGTTCACGTGCCTGGGGATTCATGATGTCGTGCCTGTGGTGGGCACAGGCCACTGGATGACAATCCCTACCTGCTGCTCGAAGAAGATGGCGAATTGGACACTGACACCGCAGTCACAACGGAGCTTGGGGTGATCGCCACGGAAGAGAATCTGCCGCGTCTCACAACAGCAAGCTCTCGTCCAGGTGCGCACTTCCATTGGCTGTGTTTGTCAATTAGCAGCGGCTGAAGGCCGTGTTGAGCAGAAATCGACACACTGTATGTCCATGGCGTCAAGACTCTAAAACTGGCCTAGCCGTGGGCGATCGGCTTTTAGATACTTGGCTTTGATCGCATTGGTCAGGCACACAGCAAAAGCCCGTTAACTACGTCGGCGAAGGGTGATGCTGTGTTTTGCATTGCCAAGTGAATGGGCCTGTTGAATGCTGTTGACCTTATCACTCTCATAGTCACGGTTAGGATCCTCAACATCCTGCTACAAAGCCCATGCGTACAATGAGAAAAGAGCTGAGAAGTGACGTGCGGCTGGTGGCCACACAGCTTGACGAGGGAACACAGGGGTTATGGGACACTATCACAGGAGTTGTGTGCTGGAGGGCTTTGCGGACTCTCCTCTTTCTTCCAACTGGTTGTGCTGTCCATCCCGGTTTGTTGTTTTCAAGCAGTGTTATGTCTGCACCCAACAGTGAACCAAATACAAACAAGGCTGCTCGTATGTTTGCAACTGCTTGTTTTTGATTACATTGTAATTGAACTGATGAACGAATGTAGATTATCTGCATCACCGTCCATTCCACGATATTCCCCCAGTCGTGTGCGAATGCGTCTGGGGTGAAGCTCCATCCTCACAGCCATCGGACCCATGGTATCCATACTTTCCACCTATATCGAATTTATGGAATCCATGATATCCATGTTTTTTATCTAAATCGAATCTACCGAATCCATGATATTTGTACTTTCTATCTAAATCGAATCTATCGATTGCATGGCATTCAAGCGATTTGTCTCCATGAGGGCTCCTCAAAAAGCGTGTGTCCGATTCGATGCATGTTGAGCAGGCGCCGGGGCGAGGATGGAAGACATCGACAAGAATTTTGCCCTGGACGACGACGAAGACCTTGCGGAGTATGCAAAGGGGGGAGAGTCGCCAAAGGCAAGGAGAAAGGAGACTGGGAAGGACGCGTGAACCGGTCACTTGCGGGTCCCTCTGAATGTTGTTGCCAGTGGTGTTTGTTCTGGAGTTTCCAGAATGGCTTGGATTCGATGGAGCTGCACGTGTAGAGATGAGAGGGGTGGGGGGATCTTGCAGGTTTAGCCTGAGAGATTGCTTTGGGTCACTGAAGAATGTGGCGGCGCCAAACCAGGCGCCTGCACGTGACTCCAGATGGGCCTCATGCTCGATGTTGGAGAACACCGCAGCTGAGGGGATGGACGGAAGCGTGTTTGGGGTGTTGGGGAATCAAGAATAGCATCATTCTGATTCCGAGCAAGCTCATCGACGGCAAGATTGGCTTGGCGGCGCTTAGCGTGGCAGCGTCTGCATCCTTGAGGTGTATGGACGGAGCTGTAGCTGTAGATGGATGGCCGCACAGCGTTGGTGGCCTGATCAACCCGGAGGGATCCCACAATCGTATCTGGTTTCGGCTCGAACCCCCGTGTATGTATCTGTGTCACGCATGTTGTAGTCGTCGCCTGGGCGTGGCGAGTTGCCATCCCTTCGAACTGCAGGGATCCAGGGATGACTTGTAGAATCAGGGGTGTAGATGTGTGGGTACTGTGTAATAGACTTGCATGCCCACCTTGTGTGTTCTTCAACTTGATGGCTGTACTCAACCTTTAGTCCACCTGATCTCGACAGATGTCTGGCTTTTGCCCCTGACGGGGAGCCTCCACAAGTCACCACGCCTCCACGGGTCAATCTGGCACGATTGCAACCCAACAGCATCGCACGTGGGTAGTGAACTGGCCCATGGTACATTACAACGGTTGTTGAGAGGCCGCCAGAGCTTCGTGTGCTCCGCCCAAAAGCGGCGTTGCTGTGTTGCGCAGTTTGGAATCGACCCGTGATTTGCCCATCATGAGGCTGTTCCCAGGCACAGCGTATTGTGCGATCAGTTCCCAGTCTCGAAGTTGGCATAGAGGAGCAGTTTGCACAGCGCAGTTGTCAGTGATGTTCATCAACATCATCGCCACAATTGTGTGCCCATGATGGAGGGACTCTGGCACAACCCTGGCAGAATAGGCCTCGATCCATGGGCATCCACGTCTCGGGGCTATGCATGCATCGCTCACTCTGGTGAAAGCGTGCATTTAGATGTGCCGCTGCAGTGGCTTTGCTAGATTTCCGGGGCACCTCGCCCCTCCTGCTGCGACAGCAAAGGCGTGGCCCAAGACGACGCCACGGCGTGGCACCGCCGACCGACCATCTGCCACATGGGGTATGCTGGCATTGGACAATTCCGGTACTGGGCCTCAACGGTGACTGTTGGGTTCAAGTTATGCAGAAAGCGCCAAAGGTACCCCCCAGCAACTCTTTGCAAGACCAAGCGATGGCGGCAGTGATTGGCAGTCCCCTGCAAGTAGCATCAGCTGTAAAGGCACTGCTGCATTGACAGCGCGATGACCTCTGGCAAACGTTCAGGGCACTGGGATCACCAAATCGCACAGCACTCACGTGAGGGCCCCTGTGATTGCACTTCTGTTGAAATGCCGCATGTCAAAATTACAATGAGGAGGATTAACAGCACAAGCAGCAAGCAGGACCAACTGTGCAAAGCAACGCACGGCGTGCTGTCAACACAGCCTCACCGCACTGCACCCCATGGCATGAGGCGCTCGCAGGCGCATCACGGTTTCGCCGGTACGCTCCAGCCTCCTTCTCCTGGCGGTGTGTATTCTGTGTGGCCTGTTGGGCACCTCTGGCCTGCGGATCACCTCGGCCACATCAAACAGCACGTTCAAGGGGTTGACGTTTTCCCCCTTCTCCGTTTCCCTCTTCAGTTCCCCGTAAGCCCGCGAGAAGTGCCCCCTGATCTCGCCATACCGCGAGCTCGCACCCGAGATGTTCAGTCCCGTGAGTGGGTCCTCCACCAGCAGCCTCTTCTTCCTGTCCGTCCTCCCCTCCCAAGCCGGGTTGAATATCCACTTGCGCGCCTCCTCCTCGATCTGCTTCTTGGGCAGGATGCCGTCGCGCCGGAGGCACACACCCTGCAGCATGCACAAAACACCAGTCAGGCAGCTCTACTGAATTCAGATCAGCAGGCAGCGTCAGTTTCGTAGCAGTCTACAAGCACCTCAGAATGCCTGGCACACAAAATACACTAGTCCCTGTTTCGCACCTGTCGAACATAGTCAAAACGCGTGCCAAACAGCTCCAGGAAGTTGAGCAGCGCCTCGCCATAGTCCTCCTCTGCAGGGGTGCCCTTGTCTTCCAGGCACTGCGCCAGGACCATGTTGGCAAGTGCGTAACCGCCCAGGCCCCCAGAGGCCACCTCGTTGAGGCCCAGCTCCTTGAGGAAGGTCTTGATAACGAGGCATACTGGGCGCGCAGTGGGATATTCCTTGAGCTTCTTGCGGATGAATTCTGCGGCCAGGGGTCCAGCAGCATTGTGGACAGATAGGTCCAGGCTGATCGCATCCTGTGTGACGATCTTCAGTATGGGCACTCTGGCCATTGGGATTACCTGCAGCAAGCATCAGTTTCTCTTCAATACATTGTGAAGTCAATCTGTGAGACTGCAAGTACTAGATAGAACGAAGCATAAGTCCATCACCTTCCAAGAAGAATGTAGACATTTGTTTTACTTGTTTTCTGCTTCTTTCCAGCTAAGAATCCTTGGCAAGTTTTGCTATTCACATGTGCACACTGAAGGGGAAGCAAGCATGTTGAGCGGGTCTTGTGGGATTCATGCACAGAGTGATGACACCCACACCTTTCATAATTCTTGTGCAAAACTACGCCCAGCATCCGCTGCCAGGTGCTGGGGTCCTGCTCTGTCATTTTGGAACAAGTGCACTTGAAAGATTCGGGTCCATGCACTTGGCAGAGACCATTAATCGCAGCAATGAGCAGCGGCAACTGCCACACAATTGGCAGGCTCCCTCTTTTGCATCCTGTGACCATCTATCTCCACAACCTTTTTCGGGGTTCCATCAGGAAGATGGCCCCAAGCCGACCACGTTCCGTTTGCTAACCCCAAGCCAAGCTTCAAGCATCAGCGCATGCTGCATAGTCTGGGGCACACTTGCTTAGGGAATCTAATTCCATTGGCTGTTCCCTCTCTCTACAAGCAAAAGCCAAGCACCATGTGCATTGCCTGCCCCACATGGGCATCATGACGAATTCGTCCCATCTCCCACAGACCTTCTTGCTTGTTGTGCAGAGAGAAGCGATTTTCAACATACTAGCATCTTTTCAACAAATGTTGACAAAGGACTCAAGTTACGGGTGCCATTCACTTTGAGTGCAGCTCAGATGGCAAGCTTGATCATCTCATCCATATGTTTCAGGTGGGCACTGTTGGTCGCATTTAGGGGATGACTTTGGGTTGTGGATGCCTTCAACATTTGCTGACAAAGGGACAAAAATACAACGCCACTGAGTGTCGAACTCCCTTCAGCATGCCTGTGTTGCAGTTAAGAAAACCAAAACTATCCACATATGTGCCAAACAGGGTTTAATGTCACCTACCACACAAAGATTCCCAGCAGTGCAATTTTCCGTCCAACACTTCTCACTCAATCGTAACTCAAAGAGATTCGAACTCTGGCTCGATGGGCAGAGACACCATCCGCCACCGTCGACGCATGGGTGGAAAACGCATTCGAATGCGAATCAGTATTATCTTATTGCTGACCCATAGTTCCCTTAGCTACACGACAAACCACACCAACACCTTTCCAAATGAACCGCCAAATCGGCTTCTCGACCGAATCCCCACCTTGAGTGCTCCCACAACCAATGCACTCGCAGTTGCTACATCTGCCATCGCTGATCCCAAGATTTGATGCACCAGTTTGGAATCATCATCAGCAAAAACAAACGCAGCAAGCCAAAGCAGCAACAATGACATAACAAAACATAGCATAGCATAGCATAGCGTAACATAACGTAACAGTAATAACATAATAACATGTAATAACGCAACAAAACATAACATATGAAACACACGTGCACCAGCTTGGCACCATCAGCAACAACAGGAGCTCAGCAAAACAAACCAAAGCAAGCAAAACAAAGCGGAACAGATGGGCAGCAACCCCGCCCTCCCCGGCAGCTGCCTCCCCACCTGCATCGTCTCTATCACCACGTCCCGCCTCTGCACCAACCTCTTGGCCAGCCTGTACAGCGCCTGCACCGCCCGCGCCCGCTGCGCCGGCGTGTAGCCCCCCGACGTCACCCCGATCACATCACACACCACCAGGTCCAAGTCCGACCGAAACGTGGCCAGCCCGGAGGCGATGCTCCCGAAGGGCCGCACGCGTGCCCGGCGGCCGAAGACGTCCCGCGAGGCGTTCTCGATGTCGAAGATGACGCGCCTCCATCGGAGGTAGTCCCGCCGGTTGGGGGCCACGTCCCTCACGAAGTCGGCCACATTGTGGTGCAGGGGGGACAGGGCGTGGTCGTAGACGGAGTCCAGATCCAGGGTGGCGCGGGAGGTGGGGGGCTCTGGGAAGGAGAAGGCGATGGCATAAGCATGTCACTGGGCAGCCTGGGGGATTGAAGGGCCATTCTTTTGCGTCGCGGAGCGGTGTGTTGATGTGCAGCAAGTCAAAAATTTGGCTGAGCAGGGGAGAGCTATTTTGGGACCAAATGCGTCCTGTCTTGAAGGATCATGGGCATGAGGATGATTTGAACCCGGGGGGGAGGGACTGGTGGGATGGCCGCGAGAATGCGAACGGCCAGCGGGGGATGCCGCCATGAGCGGCCGTTCGCGGCACGCGGCGGGGCAGGCGAGATTGGGGGGTTGCGCTCACCTGTGGACTTGAGAAGCGGCGTCTTGGAAAGCCGAGCGCGAAGGCAGGTCGACTGGAGGACTCGGGGCAGTGGAGCAATTCTGGCCGAGTTGAATGGCCACCAGCGCCCACAGCTTATCACGCTGCATACGGTTCCTGTACGATTGTACGGTTGCCGACTGGAGTGCGGGACGTATGTACAGAGTTTTAGTCGATTTGTGCTTTTTAAGGCGTCACTCGACTTAACGATCGTGTTGGCTAAATAGCACTTCTTCACTTATTCGTAATGAGCAGCACTGAGTCGCTGCCGGCAGGGTGCTCCGTCCTCTTCTGCCATCGAGCTTCCAGGAAAGCAAGGCGAGATTTGCGCTGGGCCCGCCACATGTGCGTGATCCTCTCCAGCAGTTTAAACGCAATGTGTGCCCGGCAATTCAAGCGTCACAGTAGCACCATTCCTCGTATTCTTTCCACACCGCAGTATTCCTTTGAGCTCATTGGGTGTCTTCGATTCAACACAATATCTGGTGGCGGCCCCCTCCCTTTCCCCGCTAGCGAACAAATCCAGCGAACATGTTTGCTTTCGGATCCTTCCCCTCGTCCCTTTGCCGCCAATCCTTCTGGAGCCTTTCGCAGCCCTGCGCTGTCCTGCGCGGTGGCACAAGACGCCGCACCTCTTCTCCTCTTTTCTCATAACACTCGCTCCGGCGATTACAACACCAACACCGCAACTTCCCTTCGCGCCTTCCTCACACGGAAGCGATGTCAGACCTGCGTCTGTCTCGCCGGCCATGCCCCCAAATTGCAATTGCCGGATTCGCGGCACGATCCGCCATGTGCATCCGGTTCCCCGCTGCCTTGAGCCGCTTGTCCCCACCCAACTGAACTGGCACGGCACACCGAACAGGCCCAACTAGCCGCAGTCCCTCCCACCCCCCTCAGCGCCCCATGGCCACGGAACTGCGACCCCGCCCACTGCGCAAGCCCCTGTACGATTCCGAGAGGGCCGAGCCACGTGCGACGGTGTGCGTCACCGGCGCCACGGGCTACATCGCCGGGCCCGTGATCGCACGGCTGCTCGCGGCGGGGCACACGGTCCACGCGGCATGCAGGGATCCGGCCAACGAGGCCAAGACGGGGCACCTCAAGGTGGGCCCCCCCTGGCGGAGATTTTGTTCTGTTGCCCGGTTGTGGGGCCGGTTGAAACAAAGAAAGAAAGAAATGAGGAAAAAATTTGGGTGATCTGCCCAGCCCCGGGTGTCAACCCCGCAGTTCACTGTCTTTTGGAGCCGGTCTGCGGAGAATCGGAGGCAGGGCGGGCGTGGTGGGAAGGATTGTGGAGAGAAAATGATTGATCTGCCGCGCCCTGGGATGTCCACAGTGCAATCTACCGCCTCTTGGAGCCCAGAGCCTGGGGAGGGGGGTTGAAAAAGGGGTGGGGGGTGGGGGGTGTGCGGGGTGTGGGTGGGGGGCCGTGGGAAATAGGCATGGAACCAGCGTCCTTGGTTGAGGCCTGGCTCCAGCTCGTTGCTCGGATAGCGCTGGGTATGGGGGAGTGTGAGAGCGCTGGGTTGCAGCCGCCTTCCGCGCGGACATCGCCCGCCATCGGGTGATGACAAGGTCATGGCCCGATTCGCGCGTTTTGCTGTTTCAGGCGCTGCCCGGCGCGGGGGAGCGGCTGCGGTTGTTCGCGGCCACCCTCGAGGCGGAGGCCTCCTACGACGAGGCCGTGGCCGGCTGCAAGTACGTCGTGCACCTGGCGTCGGTGGTGCGCATGATGGCGCCCAAGGGCCGGGAGCGGGAGCTCATCATCGACCCCTCCGTGCATGGCGTAACGAATGTCCTAGGCAAGTGTTCCATCCCACCACCACCCCACCTCCCCAAGGGTGGCCGGCCCAAAATTCGAGTCGACACAAGGTCGTTGTTGCACCAGCCGCCACGCAGCTTGTTATGCATTCCAATGAGTCCATGGACCGGCGGTTCGTGGCGGGCTGGGCGCGGACGGGGTGTGAATTGACGGGGTTCCGGTGAGTGCGTGTGGCGAAACCATTGACCTGTCGGCATGTCAACCGACGAGATGTGTTCACACGTTCCAGTGCTTGCAAAGGAATTGGTGCCGTTCTCACACGGTTCATCCGTGCGTCATGTAATTGTATCCAGGCAATGATGGGACAGTGACGCTTGTTGCGACAGCACCGCGGACAGAGCGCCACAGTGCGGGCAGTGCCGCAGGCGCTTCCGAAGTGGCCTCGGCTGCCGAACACTGTTCGCGCACCCTCTCAGGAACAGTCGATGAAAGCGAGTATTGCAAACTACTGAACTTATACCACTTTCTCTCCAAAGAGCTACGACGAATCGTACGGCAATCGTACGTACGGCTACGACAGCACCGCAGACGGCTGACAGTGCCGCGGCCTGTGTGGCTGCAGGTTCTGTGAACCGCACGCCGAGCGTGGAGAAGGTGGTGATGGCCTCAAGCGTCGCCGCTGTCGTGGGCGACCACTGGGAGCGCGGGAGGGACCACGTGTACACGGAGGAGGACTGGAACACGACCTGCAGGGACGACTACCTGCCGTATCACCAGAGCAAGCTGCTGTCCGAGAAGAAGGCGTGGGAGCTTGCTGAATCTCAACAAAGGCGAGTCTGCTGCGAGCGCGGTCGGCGCTGGGCCGATTAGCAGTAACAAAGTGGAAAGCCTGTCCACGGTTGCATTGGAGGACCGTTGCGCAGTTTCAACGCTGCAGACGTTTCTGGCGTCTGAGCTTGAAAAAGCTCAAAGGCTGTTGGCTGATGGGGGCCGCTGACGTTGTCGGTGTTGAGATGAGTGCTGGTTCGTGATGTGTGTAAGGCGGCGGGGACGGGCCCTTTCTTGTGAAAGTCTCAGGCTCTTGAATAGACAGCGTACCCTGACGCAAAAGACGAACGCTGAAGAGCCTGGAGTTTCGACCGAGACTTGCAGCGTCAATCTAAATTGACAATATGCCACCAATAATCCTGCATTACTTTGGTACCATGCGTTGAAGCCGGACCGAATCGCGTAATTTGGACTTTGTTTGAAGCTTGCCTCCAGAGTAAGTGACTCTTGGCGACATTAGTTCCTTGCATATCTTGAAATGTTGCAATGGAATATTGCGAAATAACAGTTTCCGCATATTATGCATTAACTGATGTCATGTCAACACTGCATAGTTATGTGTATGCATGCATGTGTGCATGTGTGGTTTGTGTTTAAATGACAGAGTCATTGTCTGGAGTGCAGAGCATCTCGTCTGGTCCCATTCTGTGGTGCTCTCAATGTTTCCACAACCCTGACCAGACCCCGTCTTTTCAGCCAAATGCCCCCGCAGGCAAAAGAGGGACACCCACTCATGCAAACTGCAGCCAACCACCACAAAATCCCAAGCCCAGCACCAACTCCTCCTGGAGTGGTGTTCAGCACTTTGGGGGCGCAACCACCAGCGGCTTGTCCCCAACTCTTTGTTGGACGTATGCGTAGGTGGAAGTTGATCGTCCTGCAGCCCTGCCTTGTGTGTGGCCCTCCCCTCGGAAACAACAAGTGCGAGTCCGTGGGCTTCATGAGGCGCCTGCTGAACGGCTGGTTTGGCGGGTGCATGCCCAATCCCACGTACTGCGTCGTGGACCTCGACGACGTGGCGGCCGCCCTCACCCTTGCCATGGTCACCAAACACGCAAAGGGGAGGTGAGGGAAACATTTTTTCTCTCCTCTTGTCGTCTCTACTCTTCTCTTCTCTTTCATTGTTCTTTTCTGCTTTTTCATTTCTTTCCTTTCTGTGGCAGTGCGGTGCTTCGTTAGTTGGAGTGCTTTTCTTCATACTGTGAAATCTTATGGGTTCCGGCCCTAGTCTCAGAGGGCGACCTTTGCACCTTTGAGGTGCAGCGCTCCTCAAGGGTGGGCCCCTCCCAGCCCACACCACACACAACACACCACACGCTAACCAACCTGTTGCCCCACGCCACCATGTGTGGTGTGCGGTGTGTAAGGTGCCTGTGCGGGTTGGGGGGCACTACCCATAGGTACCGGGGACTGTCATGCAATAGACCACTATGGGTGCCTCATAAAACTCAAGGATGCAAAAAAAACGCAATGAGAGGAAAAATTGGGGTGACAAGGAGGGCGGTCAAATGGGCCCAATTCCTCTTGTCACATAGTGGTGTACGGTGTGTACAACGGAGGCCGCCTCGTGCTCATGAGGTGTTTAGGACCAGCACCTCCAGTAGAAGGTACCCGTCGGCAGTCGTCCAATGCTGGCGCCCTTGCTAGTTACTGATCAGTAGGCACCAGACTGAGGACCAATGTTAGGAATGGAAGTTCGTCTGGACTCTATATTCCTAAAGAACACGGGATGAAGTCACTGGTGAGAAGTCATGGCATGCCGTGGAGGCGACATGACCTACAGTCAAGACGCCAGGGGACTGAACACTCTTCTGCTCCTTTTTCACTCTCTTTTGTTTTCGGCTGGAGGTAGGGGCCATACAATGTGCCACATCACGTTTACTGCCACCACCATAAGCAAAACGATTTGGGGCTCTGCAGGTACCTCATCACTCAACAGTCCTTCACATTGCGCCAGTACGTCGCACTCATTCGCCAAAAGTGGGGCGACTTCCGTCTGCCCTGGTTTCCTGTTCCCTACTGGGTGGTGTGGCTGCAGAGCCTGTTCCATCCAGAGCTGGACATGAACCTGCTGCATGCGATCTGGGGCAAGGTGCCCAAGTTCGACAACAGCAAGAGCAAGCGCGACTTGGGGCTCACGTACACAGAGATCAAGGTGTCCATCGACGACATGGTCGAGGCGCTTATCAGGCTGGGGATTGTTAAGGACTTCAGGAAAAAGCGCAGATGAGGGACGGGGGTCCCCTGCAAACGGAGAGAGAGGACAGCACTCAATGTCAGAATCACTACAGCCATTTTTTCCGAAGCAAAAGTGCGAGGCTGGCGTGGTGTCATGAGCGGCTTATCGAATTCTACTTTCAATTTCCTTAACTTGCAGCTAGAGACGAGCTAGAGTCCAAAGCTGCTAGAGGCCAGCGCTGGCCGCCCCAAAGCAATTAGCGGCTTATTTGTGTTTATAACGCCCAACAAATGCCGCTTACCCTGACGACATTAGTTTACTGGCGTGCCACAAAACCAAGTAGCAGCAAAGCGCTGCATAGGAAAGCTCCCAATGCTGTTTTTGCTTCCTCTCCTCTACCACGTGCGGAGGGCGCATTGGCAGCAGCTGTTCTTGTGATGACTGAGCCCTATGTCATGTCCGAAAGGTCTGACAGATTAGCAAGATGCGATTTGAACTGCACACAGTCCTCGACTGCGCTGTGGGAAGACCAGTGCACGGCATTTCACAAGCGGGGACATCATTGCCTCACCCCAACACGGCAGCCGCCTACGTATCCAGCCATTACGCACGCGAGCTATGTACCACACGTGTGAACAGGTGCACCTGCGGCGTGCCCATTTCAACCACGTCCGTCGAGCCCTAGGATGGGTGAATATGTCTGGCGCCACAGCATCAATGTGAATTGCTCAGCGGTACATGTACTCTTGGACAAGGCCCATCCTTGCATATTTTTCGAGGTATCGGTCAAGCAAGATGTCGTTTATGAGGTCGGGGGAAAGGTCGCCCACTTCCGTCGAGTCCTCTCCTTGTTCGCTGCTGTCGGGTTGTCTGAGGATGCGCCTTTGGCGGACCTGGACAGTGCGACCAGGACATGCATTTGGTTAGCCCCATATAGAAGGCCTTGTCTCTTTTGATGCCCACCTCGGGTGTCAACAAGCTCAACGGCAAATGCAATATGCAACAAACTCCTCATGCAACTACTTCGGCGAGAAGCAAATGGGAGATGCTTTGCTTCTGTGCCTGATCGCCCGTTCGGTCGACCAAAGTGCCGGGCGATCGGAACAAGACAAAGACGTTAAAAAAGGCCCGCCTCAACCACTAAGCCCATGATTCAGGCAAGCCAGCCAGCCAGTGGGGGGACACAGATTCAAGCGGCCAAACGGCATGACCGCCGGTCAGTCTGCTCGTGCTTTAATCAAGATTCCCTTGAACTGGGCATTGGAAACTGGGTCAAGGCATTCGTGCGGCATGTACAGCAATTTTGCTCCATTTGGGCCGAAGTGGCACCTCAGTGGGTGCCCCATCGGCGAAAACTGGCGCGCATGGATAGATCTCACATTCTGGATCCGGTCGTGGCAGTCTGCCTCGTCCCACAGGACGTCGAGGTTGCCGCGCAGGGGCTGGTAGCTCAGCTTTGCCTGCATGCCCTGCCACCTGGCCCTCTCCTGCTTCTGCCAGGGCGGCGTGATGCACCTGTGCTTCAGACCCTACAGCGTATACCGTACGCCCATGGCCTCGAACTGGTGGCTATAAGAATGATTCCATGAATTCCATTAGCCATGGGGAATAGCAGAAAGGGCAACCCTCACCGCAGTACACGCCACCCTTCCTCATTAAAAATCTTACCATTACGCTTTTTGCTCAGCATTCTTTTCAGAGCGTTACTTTTGCTTTTTAGCGCCGCTTGGCAAAAGTTTAATAAAAGAGCCTTACCGTATTCTCCCGGTATTAGTAGGGGTGCATTCGATCCCCATTAATAACACTGGGTCATGGATACTAACGTGGTTTCAAACGCCCAAAGAGGAGGTGGATACTAATAAGCCATGGATACTAATACCGGGTAAACACGGTATTTATTTATTATTTTCTCGGCAAAAGTAGGCCAGGCGTTACCTCACTATGCGGAAAGGTTGAGTATACTTCAGTAGTGTGAGAGCTACAAAATCATGGAGGATGGCAATCTATCCATCGCCACACAATCAGCACTTATGGCAGTGCCAATTAGCACGGCATCGCACGCCACGCCACCTCATCATATCACGTAATTTCGTGTCGCGTCGCCCCATATCAGTGAATCATTGTCGGCCCACCGTCGTCCATGATTCACGACCCAATCGCTGCCTCGAATTGCTCTTTCATCTTTCCAGCAACAGTCCTGGGCAACTGATTTCAGTCCCATTGCATTATCGACTGTCAGCCGTGATGCCCACCTCCAACTCTTCCGTGTCCAGGTCGCTCCAGTCCGACCCTTGATCCGTTGAGGAGCTGCTGGGTCTGGCGTCATCTCCTGCATCCTCGGGACCTGTGAACCAATATTGCATGGGTGCGCAGCCCCTGGAGTAATTTTCACAATATAACAAATGCGGTGTTGTGTGGGCATTGCAATAATTGTCGGCAGCTCTTTCTGGCGGATGCAAGGCAACTACTCCCGTAGGGAAGGGTGCAAGCTCTAGTCCTGTACTAATAATGTTGAATTCTGAGATTAGCTCCACTGACCGCTTTGGAAATCGGTGTTTTATTAGTATGAACTGTGTCAGAAAACGACCAAGCTATTTAATGTCCAGCCTCTTCTTTGATGCCACTTCCTCCAATGGTAGCTAGCTTGCTGGATTTGATGGCGGCCGCTTTGTCCTTCGCTTCGCCTGTCTAGTTTGGGGGATATTTTATTTGACGCTACAGGGATCCCGCGGTCCCATCACGTGCTTAAGAATACCATGTTCTGAGGTCGGAGAAACCTACAATAAAATTGGTTGGTTGATTTTTCAGAACTCTTTTGGATGCGACTGTGAATCAACGTACTTCCTTCTCACCCATGGATGTCAAGTGCACGACAAGGTCATTGGGGCCACACACATGCAGTCAATCAATTCTCCTCATGGAAGCCATTCCCAGATGAGCGGCACGCGCAGAATGTGTCTTACACCCGTTGGGGTACGTGTGAGTCGCAAAATATCACCTGTGCAAATATTTGCGATTAAAGGTGCAAGTGCATAAGGGAAAGACTGCAAAAATCCACTCTTGTGTACTGCGTCTCAGACAACCAGACCACTGGATGAACTTGTACGGTCCGATTTGCCGACACAGAAGGCCAGTCTTTCTTAAAGCGCATTCTGGAACACACGTGGTGAGATGCGCCTTGCGGTCCCTTTCCACGTTGCCGCTTTGGTTTGCCCCAGTTGCGTGTCCCCGTCGCCTGTGGCCCTCATTCTCAACATGTTTCCAAAGCGCGTCGGGTTTGTTGCGCCCCCGAGAGCGGTTCCCTGGTCCGTAAATCCCTGTCGCTTGGCCGCCTTTCTTGCCTCTATGAGGGCCTTCTTCATCCTTCGCCGGGCTCTAATGCCCCGCCAACGGGCCTAGAAGTAATCCAGGGCATCATTGAGTGTACGTAATTATGTATTGTGTATGTGACATGGGTCTGAATCTGGCACATATTTCAGATCAGTGTTGTGTCTGGCTCAGGCTGGTGGTCCGCCTAACGGCTCATTTGATTTCAGGCAGGAACTGTGAAAACAGGTTAGTACTGAATGGTTGGCAAGGCAGAGATCCCTGGACTGGTGCCTGCGGCTTTCCCTTAAAAAAGTACTGCAACTTCAGTTGTTTATTGCATTTGCAGCACATGACAAGGAGCTGTCTGTTCGCATTCAGGGAAAAATTAGCGCAGGAAGATTCTTGGCAGGGGGATCTCAAAAAAATTGGATACATTTGTCTTCCCGATACAGGCTCAAATAGTACTCAAATGGCATAGCTGAAAAATTGGTCCAAGATCGTGGTATCGGGCAGCGCGACTGGCTTGCACAAATGCTGTCCACGTAAAATGGCTCAAGGGCTACAAAGTCCACGACAGCTTGTAGGTTGCGCTGTTGTAGCTATTGTATAAATTATTAATGGTATTTTGCGAAAGAATAGCGACCTGATAGACATGGCAGGACCAAGTATCCTACTAGATATGCCGCATATTCAAATAACTTTCTCTGGACCATGTTTTTCCAGCGAACGCGACCGAATACTCGAGCACTTCCAAATTACATATCAAAACATCAGCATCATTCGCTCTGGTTGCGGGATCCCGCGGGAAAGTTCAGTGAGAACTTTGGAAGTCGTTTCCAAAGGTACCTGAATGACGGAAGCCATGAAGTGGCGAAGGAGGGCGGTGGATACCCAGTCGTCGTCCTGGCCGAACTCCACGAGAGCACGGGCAACTCTCGAGCCGTCTCTGATGCGCGGCAGCACGGTTTCGATGAATGCATGCGGTCCCGAAACAACGCCCGTCCTTCGAGCAGATTTAGCGGTGCTGTCGTTCCTTGAACTCGCGGGCCTGAGCACACGGATGCCTTGTCGTTGTGCAAATGGAGCAAAGTTCGGAATTGAATAACTCAACAGGACCTGCTTCTGTTTCTTGATGAAATTAAATGTTCCTGCATCGCAATAAAAATGGAAAACCGAGAATTGGGTTTGGGTCACGTGCAACTGTCATCCAATCTGGTCCAAAATGAGTGATTACAGGACCTGCGGAAAAAAACACATCGCGGGAAGAATGCATTAAATTTCTAGAGTCTGCAAAAAATTGCCTTCGCAATTCGCATCTGAGTGAAGCGGAGACCGGAGGTCCAGTTTCAAATTGTGGGCGACCCCCAAATCCTGCCTGCAGTTTTCCTTGGTGTCCGCTCTGGGCAACTCGTGATCGTCGCTGTTCGTGTCGCACAGACTCTCCGCATCGCTCCTCTTGGCCGCGGCAGCAACCTGCCCACTCGTTCCCGGACTGGTCCCCAGGGCTCCAATCATGATTGCATTCTGCCTCGCCGCACTGTAGCGGCGGGACATGCCCTGCCCATCCTCACACGGCACTGGTGAAAACTGAAAAGTTGAGCGTGACTGCGTATACTTGTAGAGAAAGCATCCACAAGGGGGATCTCGGAAAACAACGAATAAAAGTCTTCTTTTGGAATGCAGTGGACGCAGCAGACAAAGCCGAATAGAATTTTGCGCGAAGGCTTAGACTTAGAGGGTGC